TATGGGGGTCAATGAGGCCATATTGGGGTCAATGGGCCCATATTGGGTCCAATGGGGACACAGTGGGGTCAGTGGGGCTGTATTGGGGTCAATGGGTCTGTATGGGGTCCAGTGGAACACAGTGGGGTCAGTAGGGCCATATTGGGGTCAGTGGGGCCATATGGGGGTCAATGGGGCCATATTGGGGTCCAATGGGGTCACTGGGATCAGCGGGGCCATATTGGGATGGGATGAGTCTATATGGAGTTCAGTGGGGACACAGTGGGATCAGTGGGGCCATATTGGGGTCAGTGGGCCTATATGGGGTCCAATGGGACACAATGGGGTCAATGGGGCCATATTGGGGTCAATGGGACCATATTGGGGTCAATGGGGCCATATGGGGTCCAATGGGACACAGTGGGGTCAATGGGGCCATTGTGGACCCAGAGGTACCCCGACCCTACATAACCCCCCCTTTCCCCCCCCAGGCCAAGCGTCTCTACGAAGCCCTGCACGAACCCTTCCTGAAAGCACCCAAAAACCCCAAATCTTCGCTTTTATCCTAAAAAAACGACGACCCCATAAACACAGCAACTGCAGCACTGCGTCACCGCCATTTTGGGGACTGTGGGGTCATTGGGGTGTCAGTGGGGTCATTGGGGCTATATGTGGGTCAATGCGGCCATATTGGGGACATATTAGGGTCAGGTTCCAGTGGAGACATATTAGGGTCAAGGGGCCATATTGGGGTCAGTGGGGCCATATTGGGGTCCAGTGGGACACAGGGGGGTCAGTGGGGCCATATTGCGGTCCATGAGGCCATATTGGGGTCAATGAAGACACTAGGGTCAGTGGGGCCATATTAGAACCAATGGGGACACAGTGGGGTCAGTCAGGTGACATTGGGGTCAGTGGGGCCATACTAGGGTCAATAGGGCCTATATGGGGTCTGATGAGACTCAGTAGGGCATTATTGGGGTCAGTGGGGCCATATTGGGGTCCATGAGGCCATATTGGGACCAATAGGGCCATATGGGGTCCAATGAGACACAATGGGGTCAGTGGAGCCATATTGGGGTTGGTGGGGCCATATTGGGGTCAATAGGGCCATATTAGGGTCCATGAGGCCATACTGGGTCCAATGGGGACACAATGGGTTCAGTCAGGTGACATTGGGGTCAATGGGGCCATATTGGGGTCAGTAAGACTGTATGGGGTCCAATGAGACACAATGGGGTCGGTGGGGCCATATTGGGGTCAGTGGGGCCATTTTGGGGTCAATGGGGCCATATGGGGTCCAATGAGACACAATGGGGTCGGTGGGGCCATATTGGGGTCAATGGGGCCATATTGGGTTCAATTGAGCCGTTTTGGGGTCAATGGCCCCATTATCTTTAATAGGGTCACATCGGGATCAATGGGGCCTTATTGGCTTCCATGGTGCCCCCCCC